CACCAGCCTGGTCCCCTAATTGCTCCTGCTTGGAGGAGGGAATCTTCAATGGACTCGCACATGCCTCAAGGCATGTGTGCTTCTGAGTAGTTCTTTACCTATGTCAAAATTAGAGAATTTCTAAGTATATGACTAACACAGGTCCTCTCTCTCTCTCTCTCTCTCTCTCTCTCCCTCTCTCCTTTTCAGACAGAGTCTTGCTAGGTCATGATCCTCTTGCTTCAGCCATCCAAGCAGCTGGGATACAGACATGCACGACTGCGCCCAGCTTTTAGGGTAGGCTGGAAGTTGAACCCAGGCCTCCCAGCCGGCCTCAGTCTACCAAGTAGCAGTGTCAATCAATGCACGTTACTGCAGCTGGGACAGATAATCTCTTTTTTTGGGTAGATATTTCAAAAATTCTGAGAGTTATCCATTTTTTAGTCCATTGTGGGTAGAGATTCTGCTTGTATCTTTCAATAACTCTCAAAGTTTGAATTGCTGGCCTCATTAAGTATCATATCCCAGATGAACGAGATTATTCATTTGATTTCCAATAAAAGATAGAAATAAATACACAGAAGGCATCAGAATTTAACTGAAACTCTTAGAACCTGCTGAGCTGGCCTGGACTCTGCCAGCACGGTCAACTAATAGATACTACCTTTACTGTCAGCAAATTCAATCAGAGCTGAGCTCTCTTCAGGAAAGCATTCAACATGGGCAACTCTCCCTCCTCCATGATAAGGATTTTCGAAGAAAAGCTTTAAATTGTAGTCATCGACACCAGGTGGCAGGTTTTCAACCCTGATTGTTTTGGTCACTTCCAGAAGTCTGGGAGAAAGCTGAAGTTGTTGAACTCTGCGGTGCTTGGCACAGTCCTCAACAAATTTCATGGCATCTACAAACCAAAATAATAAATAAATAAATAAATAAATAAAAGAAAATGATGACGGTATCTTTGGATTATGTAGAAGAAATGGTTCAGCTATTAATGGAGATAAAGGGGAAAGCTAAGCTCCGTTAGTAGGTGGAGTTAAGACCAACATGAGAATGTGCACGTAAAACCCGGGCCCCGTGGCACGTGTGAACGTCTTACTGGATCAGCACCTGGAGCTGTGTCCCTGCATCCAGTCCCAGCCCTCACCAGCACCCCGGCACTTTCTCTGTAGGACGCATCTCCTCACTTCTCTCCTTTCTCAAGGCCCTCAACAGCTCCCCAACAGCCACAAGTATGGCCTCCTTGGCTATTTTAATTCCAATCTATTATCATTTCCAATGATCACTTTTGGTTATTTCTTGCTATTTGTTTCATTTTCAACATTTTTTTTCAAAAAACAAACAAACAAAACACCTTCTCTTTGGCCTTTAGACATACAATACCCTGTGTCTGGAATGTTCTTCTCTAATATTTATCTTGGTATTGTTTGTCCTTGGACTCGGCCCAACTGTTTCTTTCAAATTAATAAGTATTGATGATGGGTCCAGGATGTGCCGAGCACCGTCCTGGGATCTGGGTGCAGACAGGAATATAACAAACCCTGGCCAGTTCATCATCCAGGAGTATTGCTTATTGTGGGATCAAACGAGATGAGAAGACTAATACTGCGAGCCAAACAAGGATTCCTAGAGGATGCCGTCTGTGATGTGGGTTTGGAAGGACAAAGAGGAGTTCCCCAGATGGATAAAGGAAAGAGACATGCCAGGTAGAAGGATCAGCAGTGTCAGGTAGCAGAGTGTATTTTGGTCGTAATCAGCCAGTACTGCTGGGGTGCGAACTTCACAGGAGCAAAGCTAAGCCACCTTGTTTGGGTTCCCTTTTCTCTCATCCCCACAGCCTGTGTTCACAGCTGAAAAGATGAGCATCCTTCTTGCCCCAGCAAGAACCATGATTTACTCATCTTTCTACCCTCAGCACCTAGACAGTCAATGCCTGGCACATAGTAGGTGTTTAGAATTTTTGAACAAGGGACCAGCAGGTGGTGTAGTGGTTAAGATGCTGGACTCCCACATGGCCGACCACGGTTTGAGTCCCAGACCCAATAGCCTGAAATTCATGCCAGGCACATGTACATGCATGCCCAAAATCCTGCGAGGAGGATGAAGGAGAGGGGGTTGTTGTGGGACCATCTCCTCGGCAGGGGGGTTGCTTGCTTTCTGTCTCTGTCTCTCCAGCGAGCGTACATGTCCTATGGCAAAAATCTCTCAAAAAGAAAAAGATTTCTTGAACAATGAGCAAAAGTAAGTCCATTTAGTGTTCCCTTTATAAGAAATAAAAATAGGGAACCAGCAGTTAGCATAATGGCTATGTCGCTGGACTCCCACGTAGTCGACTGCGGTTCACATTCCAGACTGGGTGGCTTAAAACTCACGCTGGGCGCGTGTGCGTGTGTGCCCAAGATCCCGAGAGGAGAATGGAGGAAAAGGGATTGCGGCGTGACCATTCCCCCTGGGGGGGTGATTTCTCGCTTTCTGTCTCTATGTCTGTCTGTCTGGCGAGCGCACGCGTCCTATAGAGAAAAACCTCTCCAAAAAAAAAGAAAAGAAATAAAAATAAATTTGAAATTAGAATAGCTACCTTTATTGAGTTCTTAGCATGTTGCAGGTACTATGTTAATATATTTCAAACATGAACTCATTTCATCTCTGTTTTAAATATATATTTTTGGTGACTGGTACGTGATGTGGTGGTTGGGGGTGCTGGCCAAAGAGGCTGACTGCAGTTCGAGTCCTAGACATGGTGGCTTGTTTTCTTTCTCTTTTTCTCTCTCCCTCACTCTGTCCCTCTCTGGTCAAAATAAAATAAGTAAATAAATAAAAATAAAAGTTAAAAAAATTATTTTATATGTGTGTGTCTGTGTGTGTGTGTGTGTGTGTGTGTGTGTGGATAGTAATCAATAGTTCAGATTATACAGTTTATCATGTACAACATCATGTTTTGAAGTATATGTATATTGTGTTGGGACCAGCAGTTAGCGTAATGGCTATGTCGTTGGACTCCCATGTAGTTGACTGCGGTTCAAGTCCCGGATGTGGCAGGCTTAAATCATTCCCAACACC